CATATCTCCCACTGAAAAGAGTTCCTAATAAATTATATAGATACTTCACTCTAGAGGAGGAGGAACACGACTCCTACTCCCTAAGCATGGGCTGTGCATAGTGACTGGTTTCCAAAAAGCATAGCATGGAAAGGGAGGAAAAGGGCAACTTTACAGTAGAGACACTAGACAAACACTACCATAGTCAGGTGATTCAGGTCAGCATCAGCAGTCATAAATCATGTTGATGGTGTGTGCCATTGGTAGGATTTGATGAAAATGGCACTTTGCCTCAGTGGTCATCATCTCAAAACCTATAACCCCAATCTTATCATGAGAAAAACAGACAAATTCCAATAAAAAATTATCCTACAATATACCTGACCAGTATTCCTCAATACGGTCAAAATCATCAAAAGAAAAGGGAAATCTGAGAAACTGTCACAGCCAAGAGGAAGAAGCTTTAGGAGACTGGAGAACTAAATGTAATATGCTATCTTGGATGTAATCCTAGCACAGAGAGAGATCATTAGGTTAATATTGAGGAAATCTGCCTAAAGTGTGGAGTTTCCCTAATAATAATGTATTGACATCTGTTCATTAATTGTAACTAATGTACCGTACAAATGTAAGATATTAACATGGGAAACTGATATGGGTCAACGTATAGAATTTATAGGGAGGTAGCTTCTGGCTCAATAAAAAGGATTTTCTTTGATCAACTACTAATGTGTACTTCTTTAACCCTTCACCAATGGTCACAGGGATGAGGAGTACGGCATAGGGAATGCAGTTAGCATTAATATATTGGCTAAGTGGAAAACCAGAGGAGAGAAGGAGCAATTAGGAGGATCATTTTATAAACAATATAAATGTCTAACCAAGGTACTGTATACTTGAAACTAACAAAAAAATTTATTTAAAAAGAAAAAAAGGATTTTCTTGAGCTTTGAGCTGTCCAAAAATGGAACATGAGTTCTTGTGAGGTACTGAGCTCTCATCACTGGACGTGCCAGAGTCCATTTAATGAGCATTTGTGAGAAATGTGCACAGAATTGAGGGCTGAGCAAGATGTAATCTCCAAAGTCCCATTAGTAAGATTCATTCAAGTAACCCCTAGAAGTGTGTCTTGAATGAAACCTTTATCCTCTTACAGAACCAAGACTGAAAACCATCGTATAGAAGAGTTTCCCAACCTTCACATCATGCTACATGTAAAAATTTATATTTGTGTGACAACCTGGGGTAAAGGGAAACTGCTCACAACAAGGTGCTACCAGCCCAGGGTTCTAAGTGCCCCAGGCTTGACCAGGGCACCTGTACATCTCTGCACACCTACACTTCATGCACCAATATTGTATGTTACACAAGTTTATGAACTTGCTGGTTGCTTGTTGTCTCCAGCAGGTACCTCAAGAGCCACATAATGCCCCCATAACAACATTTCATTCTACCATAACATCTCCAAGAGGCAGGAAAGAAGAAAGTGTGAGCTCTCATATTTATGATGGCAAAACAGAATTTTTCCTTTAAGGCAGTAAGCTTCATGCCACATGGTTCTATGGTATCTCACTGATTTCTGAGCCAACATAACAAAATCTCTTTAACAACCTTGAGCTCTGTATCCAAATTTAGAATCTCAGTGTAAAAAAGTTTCTATTCACAGGGGTACCTAGCATAAGAGGTGATTTCTATGCTGTCTAAGACCTGGACATTGGACAGAGTCTTGAGAAAGCTTCTGAAGGGGCTGGGAGCTAAAAAGACAGGGCATCAGAGGAAGCCACTAGGGCCTTTTTCAGGACTCCTTTTTGCATTTATCACAGCTCTCAGAGGCTTCCTCAACAACCAGAATTCAACTGTGAAGCTCTTTTGTTTTCCAACTTTTTATATAAACATGTACTGCTTATAATTAAAAAAATCACTATTTAAAAACAAACAATATATATTACAAAAGAGAACTCTAAATGGTTCCATGCAATAAGGGGGGTGGAGGGAACCAG